ATATATATATATATATATATACACGGAGAAAAATGGAAAAACGAATAAAGTAACTTTTACTACTTTAAAAGTAAAATTGGACCTGTCCGAAGTTTCTGCGCATCTCTGGCAACTTTTACTCGAAAAATAGTAAAATTGACTATTTCTGTAGTAAATTTTACTGTTTCCGTAGTAATTTTTACTATTTCTGAAGTAAATTTTACTATTTTTGGAGTAAAAGTTGCCAGAGATGCGCAGAAACTTCGGACAGGTCCAATTTTACTTTTAAAGTAGTAAAAGTTACTTTTTCTTTTTTTCCGTGTATATATACAAGATAACATAACTTAATTAATAAAAAATATTTTTTAACAATATATTAGAAGGGACACTGGTTTTATACCCGGAAATAAATACCTTTAAAAAAATGATTTATTTGACATTTAATAAATAATTAATAAAATAATTATCAAAATATCCAATAGAAGAACAGATATTAAAAATTTTAAGAAAAAAATTTTAAACTGACAAAAATTATTTATTGTATTTAATTTATTTATTTGTATATATTAAAAAAAAATTTTAAATAAACCAATTTAAATGAATCAATTATTTTCTTTAAAAAGTAATTCCAAAACATTTTTTAAATATTGATATTTGTTAAAAAGTTTCACATTTCTTAAACAAATAAAAATATTTAAAAATCGGTGCATTTGTATAAAAACCCCTGTGTAGTGAAGATTTTAAGAATTATTTTCTGAAAAAAATAAGCCATGATTCATATTTAAATCAGATCATTTACAATTTTTTTTAAAGAAGAGCGATATATGAAGAAAATTTTAATGATATGAAAAATATCTAAATGTGACGTCAAACGAGAAAAGAGACCTATCCCCGAAATAACAGTAGGCTCAGTTTTCCGTGCACTGTACACGGAAAACTAAGCCTAATGTTAATTTCGGGGATACGTCCCTTTTCTCGTGCGGCGTCACAAATAAACAATTTTTGTAAAGTTAAAAATTTTTTTTTTAAACTTTGTATCTGTTCTTCCAATGGATATTATAATAATATTTAAAATTTTTAAATGTCAAATAAATATTTTTTCTGTAGGTCTGAATTCCCGGGTATAAACGTTCATAAAAAATTTGTATATATACCTTTGTTAATTTTTTTATTTGTATTTCTAAATTTTATGAAAATGAAATTTTTTTAAAATTCTTTTTCTACTTAAAAAAAATAATTTCATCAATAATAGGAGAATATTGCGTGTTATATTTATACTTCAACATCTTCATTTTAACCCTTTCCCTGCATATAGCCACAATTAACTTAAAGAAAGTTAATAAAAACTTATGAAATATTCCTAAAACTTGTTACAAGGGAGTTTTCGGGATCGCTGATTACGAATCTGATATCAGATTTTTAAAATTCAAAATGACGTATGTTGGATCAAACTTTTATTAAAATGGACAGATTTTCATGAAATTTTATATTATATTTTTAGAATTCTAAATCTATAAATATGATATGAAAATTCAATAATTCGAAAAAGTCAAAATGGCGGATCCAGTATGGCAAGTTAAAATTAAGAAAAATGAACGGATTTTTATGAAATTTGTTATACAGTCAATCCTCCACAATGACGTTTTTCACAATGACGGATCCTTCAAAATGACGGTTCGATTTAGTTTGAAACTCCTCCGCAATGATGGATGGCGTAACATGATTTAAGCAAATTTCAGTGCAATATTCTTTGGGAGTTAAGAAATGAAAAATAATCAAAGATGATTATATATTCCCCTAAAGCACCGAAACTTTCCTATAGATTTCCTAAAGATTTATTTGAAATGTTTGGAATATTTAATTGCAATGTTTAGTGAAAATTGTGTAAAGATTTAAATGTCTTACTTGAATAAATGTTTGCACGAAACTTTCCTGAACATTTATTTAATCGGGACATTTGAATATTTACACAATATTCACTAAACATTGCAATTAAATATTCCGAACATTTCAAATAAATCTTTAGGAAATCTTTAGGAAAGTTTCGGTGCTGTGGGGGTTATTTAATTCTTATTATATTTAATAATTTTAATGATAACTTATTATTTCAACTAATATAAAAATATTGATAAATAAATAGTAGTTAAATTCAATTATGTCATTCATATATTCTGATAATATTTAATAATTTAAATAATTTTTTTATATACTAACAATTAATATTATTATTATGTGAACAATAAAACGGGAAATTTTATAAATTTTTATCAATATTTTAATTATAAAAATAATAATAAATTATTTAATTAATTATTATTATAATAATTAGTATGTTTTAATAAAGAACGTTTATTAAATTTTACTACGAAAAGTCCCCCAGTGTGTTCCAAACAAAATATATGTACAGGGACAGCCCTGGAAAAGTAGTCGGGGGACGTATAGGCACCCGTCAAAGTAAAGGATGAGAGAAGGGGAAATTTTAGGCAAATCCGTCATTGTGGAGGATTGACTGTATATTTGAATGTTTTTGGGTCTTTGAATCCAAATATATCAAAATTTTATAATTATATATAACTCGACAACCGATTGACCGATTTCAAAAATTTGTATTGCATTCTCTTCTGTCGAATTTTCTTTAGCGGCTAAACTGCGAATTAACTTTTAAAACTAGCAAAATTAAAAAAAATAACAAGGTTTTGAAATTAAAAATCCGGAAGAACGTCATTTTTTGATGTTAAATTTTATATTTACAGAAAGTATAAAAAAACGTATAAAAAACATTAAAACATATAATAAACATAATATAAAATGTATTACGCAGTAAAACCCCGTTTATCCGAGGTCTCGATTATCCGAGGTGGTGTCCCATCAGTATAGTAAATTCTGCATTATCCGAGTCTAGTCCGCGTCATTTGAGTTATTTTTAATTTTAGTTTTTTATAAATATGAGTTTATTTTAAATAAATTCAAATTGTTTAAATTATTATGGAATATATAGAATATTATTTACCCGTTTGTAATAAATAATAATTTTTTAAACAATAATAATGTTAAATTGTAATAAATATTTAACAATTCGGATCACTGTAAAATCAAAGGTATTAATTTAATACCGACTTTAGGTACTAAATTGTCATTTGGTTCTATTTTGATACCTAAAATCGGTACTATTTTAGTACTTATTTCTTTTTACAGTGATTAACCGAGTTTTCGCCTTATTCGAGGTAGGACCGGTCCACATTAGCTCGAATAACCGGAGTCCTACTGTATTTATAAAAAGAATGATAAATTTTTACTCTAAATAATAAATATAACAAAGTGACTTTTCAACCCCATACCATGTCGTGCCTCTTGAAATGTTTTCGTAATACTCGTTTAACTCAATCCTTTCATAAAATACGAAAAAATGTTCAAAAAGGATTTTGAAGCATAAGAAGTAAGTTGAAACTATAGTTGGAAATTTGAAAAAAATGAAAAAATACCGATTTTATAACGTAAAAAGTAGAATAAGTGTTTAGTTCAATCTACTCTTTAGCCGCTAATGAAAATTGCACAAAAGAGAATGCAAGAAAAATTTTTGATTTCGGTCAATTGGTTGTCCACATTATGGTGGCATAAATAATATATATACCCACTATAGAACGAAAATATTAATATTTTTTAAAATCATAACTTAATTTTTTTATTATCCTAAATATACATAAAAACATATAAAAAGAGTTAATTTACTATATATTTTGAAACTTATGAAAACAAATTTTTAAAAACCAATTTATGCGGTTTTAAAAATTTACAAGACCCCTTCAAATAAAATTTTCATTTTACACTGAAAAAAGAATTTTGGTTTCCAAAATAAAAAGTTTTTTTTTGTCTATATTTAACAAACAACATTTTTTGTTTCTAATTAAAATTAGAAAAGAAGTATTTTTGTTATAAAAATTTTGGTTGGGATAATAACCAAAAATTTAATTGATGGAACAAAAAATAAATGGTAGCTCAATTTTTAACCAAACGTTTATTTACTATCAAAACCAAACCCTTTTTTCACACACTAACTTAAAAAGTAAAAAATTTAAATTTAAAAGTATCAAATTGATACCATAAATATTTGATATAAATATTTGTATCAATTTGATATACTTATAAATTAGTGCGTGCGCAGAGTGTACATTAGGTATCAAGTGAAAAACTACATCCGAATGATAATGAAAATAATTTCTAAAAAATATTTTTGTCTCAAACAGCAGCTTATATGGTAATGAATTATTACTTATGATGATTAACTGCTGTCATTTTAGATGACTGATATTGAACCGAATAAGATATATGTTAAAGTGCGTTTAAGAGTAATAAAAGTATATAATAATGAATCGTAAAGAAAGTACTGTATACTATAAACATTATAGAAATGCATGTTTTCAACATCTGTTGGAGAAAGTTTCAGATTTACCAAGAAATTCCTGAGAGAAATATGTATCTCATAATTCCTCTGTCAAAATAATAATAATACGGATGCGTAGTAGAAGCTTTAAAGCGTAGTACTCCGCAGTTTCTTCGCAGCTTCCGGATTCAAGTGCATATAGTAAAGAGAGAGAGAGGAAAAGAGTGGCGAGATTCAGAGAGAGGTTGAGATGAAGGAAAGGGAGTAAGAGAGAAAGAGAGTTTTGATGGCGGTTGATCGGGTATGTAGGGTGGGTGGGTACGAGAACCCGAACACTAAAATTTCTGAAAGCTTGCCGCAGAGTAAGGATCCTAGATACCCCCGGCGGTGCGTGTCTATAATCCCAGGTATATAGAGGCACCAAGAACACCTCTGAGGGTGTTAGGGGGCTTCATTTGGGTTCGGTTAGAAATTGGTACGCCTCGTGGACACCATAATGGTCTCAGTTGCGCCAATCGTAACGTGGGACGTCACTTGTTGTCGATGGGGAACAAAATCGTCAGCCAATAGTTACCAGCTCCATCTCAACAGTGGGCGGGGATAAATGTAGCGCCACAACGGCCGTTGCGTGAACCGCACTGTTGAGTTCGGGGAGAGGCTCGGGCTTCATTATGTATCATTATACTGATCCGCGCCGCGCGGTGTACACTACAGTTACTGAGAAAGGCGCGCGTGTTTGTGATTTCTTAGTCTTCTTCGTCATTATATATATTTGTGCTAACAATTTTCCAATTGCCTTGACACTGCGCGCGTGAAAACAATTATGTCTGTAAAAGAAATATAAGTGTCTAATTTTCGTTGGATTTAATGCTAAGTGTTGTTCCCTTATTGTGGATTACTTGTCCCCAGGCATTTTCCGTCGGATTGAGAAAAGTGATGTGTGATTATTTGGATTTTATTTGGGAAATGCAGTTTTCTTTTTCTAGATGATATATAAGACATAAAGTGGAACGATTTCATGGAATGGGAATAGCGACGCGTGTGTGAAGTGTGAAGTGAGTTGAATTGTTATTGAGACCGTAATATATAATAGTGTTCTCTCACAAGCAGTATTAAATCTCGGGGAATTAATAATAGGAGAGTAAGAGATAGTGTTACCAAGTAGGGTGTACATGTTGTCATCAGACAAGTGTGCCCGCTGACCTGAGCGGATACCTGGCCCCAAAATTCGGGCCCCGTGGCGTGTGGAGGACTTTGGAGGTGAGGCGAGGGTGGCTGGGTGCGACTTTGTCGCGTCTAAGGTGGAGCGTCCGGGCAGCACGACGACGCTCAACTTCACGGACCTGGGGAGCCCATTCGGGGCGGGCGACCCCTGTCCGTCGAGTACCCCGACCCCGAACAGCATGTCGGGTGGTGGACCGTCGGGCGGAGGAGGCGGCGGTACCGGAGGCGGTGGTGGAGGTAGTGGTGGAGGCGGCGGCGGATCCGATATGGAGCAACACCTTCATCATTCTGGTTTAGGTTCGGTGACACCTGGTCCACCCGGTGGTACCGGGGGTGATAGTGCCTCCAGCACCCCAGTCTCCCAAAGTGGCAAGTCCGCTTTTATTGAACTTCAGCACAATAACCTTTACAATCCCGCTGGCCTCCGCGGCGGATATCCCGGAAGCCACAATGTCCCCAGTGCACATCAGTTTTCTCACCAAGTCAGTTCTCTCGGACATCAGGGCTCGGGACCCGGTAGTGGCAATCAACAGCATGCTGATGCCGGATTCCCCAGTCCTAGGTCGGCCCTAGCCGGATATCCGTTCGCGCCCATGCATCAGCACAACGCCTATGGATATCACCTGGGATCGTACGCACCCCAATGTCCCTCACCGCCCAAGGACGGTGAGTACCCCAACTGTATGTATTCGCAGCTTTTTTACTCTTATACTCTGTTATTACAATCGTATATATATATATATATATGTAATGCTTCAATTTACCCAATTGGGTTTTCACCGCACTCACTGTCATTGCAATAATAGCGAAAAAGTTACTTACATTTTTAACAAAATAGCCAAATCGAAAAAACATACACTGAATAAGACATTAAAGGGACGTGTTGATACATAGATACATTACACATTTAGATGTTTATCTCTATTTGTTAATTATCACGTATAACTTCGTGTAAATATTGATGATCATCAATTGGATCGTGGATCGGATTTCTGACCTATAAGAACATAGTCGAAGCAATGCGAATTTATTATTAATTTCAATGTGTTCACTGTAAAAAGTAGGCATCTTATTATAACGCTGCAAAAAGAAATAACTTATTTTAAGATGTTTTGGTAGCGTTTTTAAGACATATTCAGATATCTTGATGTCTTGAAAACGCTACCAAAACATCTTAAAATGAGATACTTCTTTTTGCAGTGAAGATATATATTGGTATACTTTTAAGATTTTTCTAAAAAGTTGTCAAAAACATATCTTAAAACACATTATGTTTATAATTTGTACTAAGATATGCGGTTACAGAAGATGTGTGAAAAGTGACAATGTATTTTAAAATACTTATTTTTGCAGTAAATTTTTATATTTCATTCTTATAAAAATGAAAATTATTTTATAACTTTTACGTTTTCTAATATATTAATTTTTAATCGTCGCCAAACTAATTTTTTTCTCAGTATCATTTTTATAAACGCACTGCAAAAAGTATTAAGCATATATTTTATAAGACATATCAATTTTAAGTTGCCAAAAAGTTATCAAAAATATTTTAAAATACGTATTAATTTTTAGAAAGTAAAATGGTTATAATAGAAGATGCGATATGTTTTTAAATATAAAAGTGAATATATTAAGATACTTCTTTTTAAAAATAGATGACCTATTGCTAAATAATGTTATTCTCCTTAAAAAATTGTACAGAAGTAGAAAAAATGTTTTCCTCTGGGTCATACTGACCCAGGGTGTTAACGGAAGGTTCAAATATAGCTTTAAAAATTATTTGGCCATTTCGCATTTGTTGTGAAAAGTTATTCATCCTCTTGTTTTTAATATAGTTTTATCGAATATGTAAATAATTTTCAAATTAAAAAGTTACTTAAACTTAAATATATTAAAGTATATAAAATATACGCGGTAATAATATAGTATATAAATAAACATTAAAACATTGTTCCAAATAATTCTTTGATAAGTGACCGTATATATTTACATAGAAAAAAATTTTGTTAATATATTTTTACATAATATTTTTAATCTTTATAAAGTGCATTATATGCCTACAACAGAAACAGGTGTCTTTGTGGTGGAATTTTTTTCATTTTTCAAATTATTATTAATCTTTTTTATTTTATGTAAAATACATATATATTTAAAGGTTAAATCACGTATGTTTAAAATTTTATTTAATTTGTTTAATTCAGAAATTCATGATAATAATTATTGATTGATTTTAACTAAAGTATAAAAAGTAATATATAAAAATTATATACATTATTTTCACAAATATACACACTCAGAGAAAAGTTTTGTGAATGTATAATTTTTTTTGTATCAGCTCCAATTTTTATTTTTTTTTTTTTTTGTTAATTTAAACAAAATTTGTTAGATACAAATAAATATTTGTTCTAAATAAATGTTTGCTTTATTTTAATAAATTTTTCAAAGAAAGAATTTCATTGAGCCAAATGAACTTTATTTGAAGTTTCATTAATTGTGCAGGTTGATTATTTGGTTTATTTTTTATTTTATTTTGTTGATCCAACAAAAATTTGGTTATTACAAACAAATTTTTTTTCTGAGTGTATACAATATGGCGGAAAGATTTTAAAATTTAAAAGAATGATCAAAAGTTTCACATACTTGAAATAGAAATATGTGTCAGTAGTAAAATGAATTTTCATTATATATTATTTTTTCAACTATTTTATAATAAAAAATAATATATTAATATATACGGATATTATAAATTATAAACTGTCACTATATGTGTATGATGCATTTTTATAGAACGTTATCTTGATTTTATGATTTTTTCTATCAATAAACTAGATAATAAAGTCCCTTGACAAATTCTTATCTTAGTTACAAGTAAATGTGCCCGAATAAGGGAAAACTTTAAAGAAAGCCCTCACGACGTGCGGTGACAGCGTGTCTGACGGTACCAAGGTATTTCGTCCGTTTATTCTACGTCTTGCGGAGAATCGATACATGGTGGCTATAAGCTGAGTCCGCGCGTTAAAAAAAACATACTGTATATATATTCATATAGCTTTTTATTCCTATTGAATCTTGCTATCGTTTTACATTTTATTGACATAAAGGTCAATGATGGTTTTTTTCTATATTTAAGTAAGAAATATGTAAAATTATTTTTCCACTTTTTTTTTTTTTGTAGAATTCTACTGTTAGAAACAGTTAATTACCGTAAAAAGCTTGACTTTCTTAATAACAACGTCGTCGCGCAGACTATTTTACTTTATATATATAGTAGAAAGTCGTTTTTAGAGTGTTAGTTTTGGAAGCAGAGGCAGTAAATTTTTATCGCTTCCTCTATGCTAATTTGAGGGTGACAGATTGAAGAGGCCAGGAAGAGACCACAATGAATATAGAAAACGGAATCTGGAGTAGCAGGTAGCAGTCAATGCCGGTTGTTGGTCAGGTTCACTATAGAGTAGAATGTTTTAATGAAAGCAAGATATACGAGGCCCAGTTCAGATTCTCGTAAAAGACCCCCAATGCTATGAATGAAGTAATTAAAAAAGAGAAAAAAAATGGACGAACCAAATTCCTTCTTTAGAATTTTTTAACTATATATTTAAAATACTTGTTTTTCCGCATCAAGTATATCATATTTGTAAAATTTACAAAATATTACATTTGAAGAAAAATTAAAAATTTACTTTGTAAAATATTTTTAGTTTTCAAACTATACTCTCATGAAAACAAAATCAAAAATAAATTACAGTAACAATGATAAAAAAAATTGAGATGTTTTTATTCTTTTTTCCAACCGCACACATCAGTTAAAAGCTATTACAATTTATAACTTTATTACACATATGTTTTCCATAAACTTTTTATTTTTTTCCGTAGACCCTTTGAACAATTTTCAATTCATAATAACACAGATAGGAGTTTGTCCACAAGTGACGACTTGAATATTTCTTGTTCGAGAAATTATTGCCTTTCAACTTTTGTACAAGGAGACCTTTATAGAACGATATAGGAAATCTGAATCTGCAAAAACGTGAGGGTAATTTTCGTTCTATAACTTGAAGTTGTTCTTCGATGAATTTTAGATCTGAAAAAGGGTTTCCCCTAGAGCAATTGTCTGTTATTGCAATTTTTATAACTACTTTTGATTTTCTTTTTTTTTTTCTTCTTTTTTTTTATGGGAAAGAAAATTTGATTTAATATAGTTGTTTTGATTTTTCCTCTAAGTGGTTAGTTATACTTTATAATCTTGTGGTATATACTTTTAAATTAGAAAACTTTTGTTATATAACAGATGTATATTCTTATTTACATATGTGCTAATTATAAAATATGATGAGAATATAATTATACTTTTTTTTTTTGAGTTACACTTAGTGTAAAGATTTAACTTTTAACAAAGTTGGGTGAATTATACACCTAAAGTATATATTTGTCAATGTTAGCAATTATTATAATGTGGCAATTGTGACTGTCATAAAAAAGAGTCTATGAAAGAAGCAACCAGATTAGAGGAAGAATTATGCAGAGACTAAAGTCGATTGTTATAACTATATATATATAATATCCGTTTATATTCTAGGGGCAATAAAGTCATCAGCACCTACATATTCGGTTGATAATTAATTAAATAATAAATATCGTGTTATGATCGTAATTTGCTTAATTGCTACCAAACACGCTATTGTTTGTATATCCTCTAAGTTATCCGTGCTTATTCGTCATTATTTTGTTATTTATTAAGTACCTTTTTCGCGTATAAACGTTTTTACATCGAAACTTAAGATTTACAAGTGTTTTTTTTTTTGCAAAAAAAAAAGTTAATTGATATGAATTAAAGGTACACGGAATTAATATAATAAATAAATAAAAGAACATTGGCATTGATTTTATTGAATGTTAATAATGAAATATTTATTCAAAGTCGAAAACTAAAAAAAAAAGTATATATTAAGCAGGTGGTCAGTATACTTAAAGGTTGATGAATTCAATCAATAAAATATGAGTGTTTTGCTGTCGTATATATATATAGCTGTAGGGTAACTGGTTTTTTTTTAGTTCGTCGCGAGTGTTTGAAATGATAGAGGGGAAATTCATCTAGTATTTCTTAATGCGTAAAGGGTGTAGCTCCCCTAATGACAACGTCAATACTTACAAAGAGTTACACCCAGAGTGGCGTGATCGAGTCAATATACATGTAACTAAATTTTTTATATGTTTCTCCTTCATCTTTTCTCTGTCACCATTATTTATTATTTAGTAATTTAGAAATTTTTCAAAATAGTTTCACTTTGTAAACATTTTCCTGATGAAAAAAAAGAAATATTCACCAAAAAGTCAATTAAATTTTTATATATGACGCGCCATGAGAAAAGTAAACAAATTTTTAGGTTATATTTGTGATTTTTTGATTGAAAATACATAAAGAGGGTTAATTCTTAATATAAATACACTTTTTCCAAAGGAATCAATGTTTCTTGCAATATTTTGATATACATACCCATTAGTATATCAATTTATATCCGCCGAAAAATGATTTTTTCGACATTTGAATTTATTGGTATATCGACAAATGTCATGCGGACAGTATATTTGCTGAAAAGTTTAGGAATTGATTTTTCGATTTCACTTTTTTTTTGTTTATTGATAATAATATTATTTTCATTTTGAGTATGAAACAAAAAAATATAAAATAGTCGAACAAAAAAACACATTTTTGAAGATAAAGTAGAATACACTATATTAATACATATGAAAGTTGAGTTTACAATTCACATATATTTTTCAACATTCAAAATTATTTTTTTAATCCAAATATGATTATTGAATCTACAATCAATCACAAAATAATTATGCAATTAAAATAACAATAACGTATGGAAATAATAAATATAAAAAAACAGCAGACGACAGATAACTGATAACAATATCCTGTCACCAGAGTTCGGAATCTAGATTACTAAGTGCATTTTAAAGTAAAACGTCCAAAATGTGACACCTTTTTGCGTGAGTTTTTTAAAGGTGCGTTCACTATTGTTTTCGGTACGAAAACAGCAAGCGGCCATCTTCATTAAATCTATTCATTTTCATTAGTAATTAAAATTTCAATGAGTTAATTTGAACAAAATGAAATTGTATATAATTAAAAAGTAAAATTTCTTAAAGAATAGGTTAATAATAATAATAATAATTATTATTATTATTATAATAATAAATCATAATAATAATGAAAAAGATTTGTCAAAATAATCAAAAAATGACTGGAATTTTCGTATTATTTCTAAAAATTATCAGCAATAAATGCGGGATCAAGTTATAATTCCACTTATGCGCGCAAGTATCAAAACGTTGCATAATTCCAATCCAAATTTTAAAATTGAATATTTTCTTTCAGGAAAACTGTATAAATATTTATGTTTAAAATCTTAAATAAAAACTGATTTTGATTTCACATAATTAAAAATGAACCTAATGTTTACTTTTAATAATATATCAATAAACATAACCTAAAATTTTTTCCTCCTTTTCTCGTGTCACATATATAAAAATCAGCAAAAATTAAATATATTTAAATTTTCTTTTTTGCAAATATAATAAAACCTTTTGTTTAAAAACTCTTAAAACCGTTTAGTGTTGCTAATTATTTAAGATTCTTGTCGTCGATTAAATATAGACTTGAGAAAGTTTACTGTCTAATCATCACATCTCGCGCAGTAATATATAGAAAGAGAGAGAGAGAGAGACTAAAAAGTTGGACTTGAAAAAAATTCTTGGCACAAGAAAGTTAATCGCACGGTATCAGAATGAAAACGACTGGGAAATGTCGTTGAAACACGAAAGCGCAACTCGTCTTTATAAAAGTGAGATTTATTAATGGCGAAAAATATGGTTTGGGTCCACACATATCCGCAATGGCTTGTTTATTTCGTGTTGATGGGTCGTTAGATTCGTCTTGTTCTTTAAAAAAAAACGATCTCGTCCGACATCAAATTCAGTAGCACCGTAGGTGGTATATCGGTGACCATAATCTTATCGTTGCGACGACAAACCAACCCAAAGCGGGTTATTATCGGCACGTTCTTGTTGTCCGACATCTTGAAAGCGATTCGAATCAGACTCGCGGAAGAAAATCCAATTAGCAGGTACCTGAGGTCCTGATGGTCAGAAACAGCGGGACATTAGTCTTTTGACTGGACCCGTGCGCGCAACGACGCGGGATCATGTGGGGCGGTATCTATATATATATGTATATATATATGCCCATGCCAACATCGGTGCGAAACGTCCTCTCTGCTTCTGGTATGCCACTGTGATGGATTAGGTATTAAAAGGTTGTTGTTTTCACAAGGATTAGGTTCGTTCATATTTTAAAGGACTCCACTTCATTTTAAGAATTTTAAATCTCATCGTCGATGTAGATATATATCTTAAGTCGGATCAAATCAGCGTACGGGGATTTGTTCGGAAGTCGTGTTTTTTTACTGATTTCTTTTATCGATAAAATTTTTATTTTTTAGAAAATGCAGGTAGTTTCTTATGTATACTTATGAAAAAATAATTTTTTTCCCCGTAAAATGCGTTACGTGTAACTTTGAGGCTTTTTTATATTTCTTATGTTAAGGCCTGAGCAGAATAGAAACGCAACCGAAACAATGAGTTAGAAAAGGATAGATATATTTTTTGTCCTTCTCCAACTCATTATTGCGGATGCGTTTACGGTACGATTCCGGATTACGTTTTTATCCTGCTCAGACCTTTAAGGCGCTTGTACACTTCACAAATTCTAAAGGCGCTTGTATACCTCACCGATCCCGAGTATACTTGCGTCGTGTACCATTGGAGTAAAAGAGACAGAAATATCTTTTGTTTCTTTTACTCCAATGGTACACGACAGAAGTATACTCGGGATTGGTAAGGTATACAAGCGCCTTAAGTATACTCGGAATTTGTCAAAAGTTATATTAATTTTGATTGACTTATAGAGAATTGGAAAATTTCGAAATTGTCTATGAGCAAAGTCAATCAATGTTAGTGAAACTTTTGACAAGTTTCGAGTATACTCAGAATTTGTGCAAGCACCTTTATGTTCGACTTAAGACATAAGGCCAACGCACAATAGATTCGCGAAAGTCGTACTTCACTTTGCATTTTCCGTAATACACATACCTGATAGGTTGTCCACAATGAATCAGATTCTGGACAACCAATCAGGTATGTGTATTTCGGAAAATGCAAAGTGAAAAAATTTTTTTACCGAAGGTGTAAATGCTCCATTAAGACGCTTGTATACCTCACCGATTCCGAGTATACTTCTGTCGTGTACCATTGGAGTAAAAGAGACAAAAGATATTTTCGTCTCTTTTACTCCCATGGTACACGACGCAAGTATACTCGGGATCAGTGAGGTATACAAGCGCCTTTAGGCCAAATAAAAAAAGCCTATTGTAGACATAGCCTATAAGGTTTCCGACGTATATTACATCTTTTACGTATTTTAACGTAAAATACTGTAAACAATTTGTGTACTTTTAAATATGGAGGCAAAAGATAATTAACAACGTGTAGTGACATTTATAGGTTATGTTTACAACAGACGTAAAATACGTAGAAAAACAAAAGTTATAATTTCAAAAAAATTGTTATTACACATTTTTTTAGTCCCTTATAACAATGTTTACTTTTCTATTTTCTTTATTATACAAGTTTATGTGTTTTATTTACAGTAAAATGAAGAAAAATTAATTACCTTGATATCTGTCAATGAACAAGGATAAAATTAATTGTATTTAGTAATAATCATGTACACCCTCTGCCTAATTCTCGACTTTACGACAATAATGTCATACATTAATGAATATAAGTGTAATGACGGTGGTTCTAATGACACAGTATAATGTTTATAGTGACTGCCCGCGTGATGATAAGTTATTATGCTTTCCGGTCAGATGTATACTCTGATTTTATAAATTCAAGCTCGAACCGCGAAACGACAGTAATTAAGCATATCGTTTACACAGATTGGCTCTAGGTTAAATGTATATATATATAAAGACAAATTTCAATCGATTCTCCTCAATAACAGTTTATTGCTCAAAACAAATTTATTCTACCGACGGGAAGTTAAAGGGAACAATGTTATAATTTCAATAATTACTTTAGCTAATGTCACGATGAGCGGTGGTTAATTAGTAAGTCAATTAAATCACGTAGAGACTATGACGTATATATATATGTGGCCTCAAGTGTGAAAGTACGTAATAAATGTTGAAGCTAACGATTTAAGTGAACATAATTTAAACTTGGGTACATATAACTTATTTATCTATATATATTTCTATATAAGTTTATACATTTAAAAAGAGGGAGAAGAATATTTATTAATTTATTTACAAATCAAGTATTTTATTCATATAAAATTTTCAGTAGTTTTATTTTTTAAAAAATTCCTTTTGTTTTTTTACAAAAATTGTTTCATCACAACTACATTTTTTTGTTTAACCAATTTTTTATTTTTCTTTATTCCATTAATAAGTAAAAAATATATTGTTAAATAATAATAATAGTAATAATATTTTTTATATAAATATTTTACGAAAAACAATTTACATAAATTCATTTAAAGGTTAAGATTTCTCATTATTTATTACCTCATACAAATTTATATTTCCATTAACTTGACACTAATAAGTTTCCTTTGATATCTAGACTATTATATAGATATGACTCGAACAATTACACTTGTAATAATTAAGTAATATTATTTATTAATTTTAACTGGAATTTTAGAAAATAATATTATGAAGTACAAAATGTAAATAAATGTTTTTTTAAAAAAAAGATTAACAACTAAAAAGTGTTGTATCGTGAAGTTGCATATTAAATATTATTATCCCATTTGAAAGGTAATCTTAAATATTTATCATTCTAATATGATAAACTTTTGAATTAATTCTTAAATACAGGCCAGGAAAAAGTGTGTTTACAAAATTGATATTTAGCAAATAAAATTTTTTTGAAGTGAATAATGACATTTTTGTCATATTGACATTATTTTGTCATTCGTTTTTACATCACAAATAATCAAATTTTTTTGTTTCTCCCAACAATAAAAGTTCCGAATAAAATTATTTTTATAAAAATTTTCTCAGTATTCTGATGTTATGAAAACTATTTCTTCATAATAGAAGATTTTATTATTTATTAAAAGGATGCAAAAAGAGTATATATTCTCTAAATTTAAATCAGTGAGATTTCAATGACGAAATAGTTGAAATTTTGCAATTGAATTAGTTCAGTAAAATTTCCACTGAAATTCAGTTACATTTCACTGAAAATCAGAAGAATTATTACTGTTTAAAACAGTCAAATCTGTTTTACCGATTAATGATAAGATTTGACTGTTTAAATCAATAATAATTCTACTGATTTTCAGTGAAATGTAACTAAATTTCAGTGAAAATCTTACTAAAGTAATTCAATTGCTAAATTTCAACTATTTCGTCATTGAAATTTCACTGATTCAAAGAAGAGTACTATAATGTTTTCCTTCTTCGATTAAGATGTAATGTTTAGTTTTGAAAAGATTATTATAATTTGAAGCTAAATTTATGTTTTCCATATATCATAAAATAGATATAATCTTTTTGATTAAAATTTAAAAATCAAAAAGTTCATTATAAATGATTAATGGAAACGGAGATTTTTTTTTAATAGTATTTATTTTTCATTAAAATTTAAAGTCTTATGATATATTCTTATCAAATTCATTATACTTTCTAAATATAAATTAATTAAAAATAACTAATTGATAGTAAAATCATGACTGATTTTTTGTTTCATCAAAAAAGAAATTAATAAAAATCATTAATTTTTAGTAAAAAGTAACAAATTTTAAATAGAAGAAAACAGGGAAAAAATACAATTTTTACTTCAAAATCGGTATATAAATTAACTGCAACAAATTTTATATAGTTGAGGGCGCCACTGTTTATGTGAATTAGCATTGGATAAAATTACCCGCAACTAAATTTATCCAGCTTTTTTTCTGTGAATAACTGAAAAAATATTTAAATTTGACTAATTCATAATTTACCAGAAATTTTAGTTATTTTGAAATAACAAAAAACTAAGAATTTAATTAAAAATTTGTTATTTTCAACTCAAAGATTAGTGGAATTATTACTATTTGAATTAATCACTAACTTTTTGCAATGAACTTAGTTATTTTTAACAAATTCCAAATTTAGAGAGTATAGGGTATTATGTCAGTCCAATGGACGCTACTTTATGTTTACAATATATATTATACTATTTATAAATTCACCAGTTGAACTTGCAGTACTTTAATACAACAGTAAGTTTTTTTCCAAGTATTCAAATACATTTTAGCTAATTATAAAGTTTCGCCTTGTGATTATATTAGTCGATGAGTTTAAAACTTTCCAACACTCCGTAAAGTCCGCAGAGTAATATATATGTGACCGCGCGTGCTTTGTCACTTTGTTTAATAAAGTTATTTCAACAATTTCAAATAATAATTCTATATTGGAGCATCAAAAGAACAATAGGAAATAACTGATAAAATATTTAGATATGCAAATTTTAATAGATTATAAACTCGTTCTGCATTTGAAATTCATAACTTGTTTTATATTAATTAAAAATGTTTTTAAATTATGTTTAGGTGACTTTTTTCTAAAACAGTTTTATTATTATTTTATTGAAAAAATGTATTTGATTCAAATAATTGTACTTGACTGTTATCAGATAATTGGTATTAATTAACAATATATTTTTGGAATATTTATTTGATAATAGTCAAGTACTTTATTTGAATGAAATAAATTTTTTTCACATTATGAATTAAAATCTCTTAATCAGATTTAGTTATTAATTTTCTCTTATGAGGATTATTTTTTTTTGTTAGTTTTTCTTTAGTTCTTACATTTTTTGTTAAGAGGATTCTGAAAGTTGATATTAGGGTGGTGTATGTTCACAGACCTCTCGCCTTTGGGTGATAAGGGCGGAAGCCTCGTCGACGAATTAGGAGGCGGTGGCGGTGGTTCTCTCAGGAATGGTAAAGGGAAGAAAATGAGAAAGCCAAGAACCATCTATAGCAGTCTTCAGCTTCAACAATTGAATAGGCGATTTCAAAGAACGCAATATTTGGCATTACCAGAACGAGCCGAACTTGCAGCCAGTTTGGGTTTAACGCAAACACAGGTGAGTTTTTAAATTTTTTTGAGATTTTCAGTTTTAAAATAATGATGATAAATAATTGTGAAACATGAAGAATAGATGATTTAATGTGAAAATTATAATGAAATGAAATTATAGTTTCAAAACGGTCAAATTACGTTTGTGTTATATGCAATGTCGTCGTATATACACGGTAACTGGATCTTTACTGGACAGCATCTGTCTGGTTTATCGGCACAAATGACTTTACTAAATCACTGATTTGCCACGCCCTGGACATCGTGGATAGGGTTGCCTCAGTGTCCAGTGTAGAGCGCGAGTTAACGAGATGGTCATAAATTTTCTTTCCGAGAACCTTTTGCCCTTTCAACGCGGTATATATATATGAACTTTCTGGATACGGGAGTTTTTCCCAAAACTACTATACCATTAACCTTAAAACTTTCCGAATCGTCGCACCCCTCACTTGCTGTATGGTTTCCGGTTCACAATTTATGGAAGCAAGTCACTCGGTAATTATCCCGACGACCGCTAATTGGAAAGTGTGCCTCTTGAGCTTAAATTGCTGGGGCATTGGTGAAAATAAGGGGCGATAGGCAATCGTTTTGTTAATTTTCTCTCAACTCCAAAAAAAATCTGAGTATCAACATTTTTATAATTTTATATACTTTCTCTCTAAATCTGAAATAAAGTACTGCCTGAAGGTATATACAGAATTGCATAAATGCTGTCCTTCCGGTTTGACGGCCTTTTCAAAAATCGTGACACTTCTATAATTTTATTAGTTCGTGGCATAATTCGCCATAAACTAGTAAAATTATTATAAAAGTATCACGACTTTTCAAAATGTCATCAAACCGAAAAGTACAGAATTTATGCAATGTGTATATCAATTCGAACCTAAAATTTTGATCAAAAATTATGAAATTTTTTGATACTTAATGCATTAAAATCTCCGAAAGTTCATATTACAGAAATTCCAATTCACAAAACCCAACAAAATTTTCATTTAACAGAATATGAGTGTAGCAGAATTTTCATTGGTCAGAATCGAGTCCGAGATTCTGTCCAATGAAAATTTTTCTATACGCATATTATTCTGTTAAATAAAAATTCTGATGGGTGAGAATTCTGTTAAGAAGCATTTCTTGGCTGAAAATTCTGTCCAACTAAAAGTCTGTTACCTAACACTTCTGTTAAACTGTAATTCTGTCAAATGAAATTTCTGTTACATAAATTTCTGTCGAATGCAAATTCTGTAATATGAACTTTCGGGGATTTTAATGCTTCTCCTCATAAGTATATATGATTTTCTAAATCTAAAAGCATATATAATACTTCCAAAATTCACAGGAAAATCCGAAGTGCTTGGAATTTTTTGTTATAATTTTTTTCATGCACACCGTGAGCAAAATTTAACTAATTTATTAGCGCATATAATTGGAATCAGTGGTATACTTATCACAGTGGAATTTCGCTAATTCGGATTTAGAGAGTTCGAATATTGAATCGCTGACATTATTTGTCTTTTGAATAATATGTGTGTAGCTCAATATGAGTCTATTAATCTTGACGTATAGTTAGTCACTTAAGTGATGTGCGCGACACGATAACAGTGTGCAATATAATGGTTAGTTAACTGATAGTTCTCTCTCTCTCTGCGATTATTGATAGCGCACACAGGGTTCCAGACAGGATAATTTCATTAGTTCTGGAACCCTACAGAGTGACAACTCACGAAGGCGCATTAGTATATGTATTATGAATTAAGTGCGCTTTTGATTAGAAGTTTCCATATAAGCATAATAATAATTATTCAAATCAACCCCTTGAATATGTGCTACCGTCTCGAATTTCTTGTCATCGCGCGCACCAACCAACATGGCGTAATCTTCCATCTATATCGTTCGTGTGTCTTTCACTTCCTTTTCGCTTGTGAGAAGATGCGAGAAGAAAGAAAAAGAAGGAAATGAAAAAGAAAGGCAACGAGCAAAAGGGGAGTTAGAAGTATTACAGAGCAAGACAGAAGACAAGGCATCTCTTTTTCCTCGAGGCTTCTTCTCTTGGATAAGGTAGCGGGCAAAGAATATAACACATATAGCAAGAAGGTATATATATATATATATGTATCTCATATACTTTCATGCACGCGATGTTACTTTGGGCGTGGTGTATAACCTTTTTTTCTCATCTTTTTTTTTATCAATGTTGATGGTATTTAGGAATTTTGAAAAAATATCTCAATTTTGAATTTCTCCAATTGAAACCCAAAATATCTGTGTCAAATAATATTTTTTTTTGGACGTAATTGTTCCTGTACTCTTCTTCACTCTTGCATTACACGCGATGCCTATTTCGTGGAAAGAGACCTGGTATTGCCCCTTTCTTGCAAATGTGGCAAGGGTCGCGACGTGCAGATGGACATATGGATAAGTATTACTTTTGCATGAATGCATTTATAAGGGTGCTTCTGCGCGAAACTCAGGTGCGTGCGACATATTCTCATATGTCCTTGTCTTGAAATATTCACATGAGAACCAACATAATGTTACATACATACTTAAATTTATTTATTTAAACATACATACCTACATATATATATGTGTGTTCATATTCACCGACATCAAAACTTGTTTCTCCAAGTAATACACTCTCTTATCACAAGAAGAACAGCAATACTTGGAGAGACAAGTTTCGATTGCATCTCAGAAATCAGCGGCTTATTCAGATCACGTTCTTTGATCAGATGATTTCGTATGATGATCTGACCAGTATGTATCTACTGTAACACGGTTGAAAGTATCCACTATATTTACGCTTAAATAGATAGGTATATATATATATAGTTATTTATACCTAAACTCATCTAACGTCTATAAGTCATTGATCGATAAAGACCCTTTGGTATATACGTCATACAGATTATATTATCAATGTAATCTAATTCAACAAAGAAAAAACAGCTTATCACCAGTTAATTTAAAACTATCAAATAATAACTAATAATAATAATAAATAATAATAACTAATAATAACTAATAACTATCAAATTCAGTTTTACGGTTTCTAAAAAGTAAATTTTTGTATATACTTAATTTACTATTAAAAATAAATAATTAGGAATTATTTATCACCAACTATATAGAAATGAGACTTCTCATATATAGTTATAAATTAAGTGTAAAATCGTATGACGTATATAAAAAGAGGTATCAGTTTGAAATAAATAATATCAAATATATAAAAGAACGTGGAAAGTGATATTATGTGTCAAAGTAACCTTAAACATGTCGAACGAGCGATTAGTCGTCTAGTTTTTCCAGCCAACTAACCGGCATTGAACCGACTTATCGGCCTATTATCTCATTGGCGTTGACCAGTTCGTGCGTGTCCAGATAGGGATGACTAACTGTTGTTGGTTCCGTACCATCATTCGTTTACAAATAATGCACAAACCTCGAACCATTATCATTGGCGAATATAATAAAATGAATAAAACTTGGACCGACATGACGTGTCACTATCGGATTATATATCTACCAACTGTCATCTATCAGTGAAATAGTCTACAAAATGGATCACAACTTTTACATATATATATGCACGCGATTCAAAAAGCACCCAGTTTTATATTATTTTTCTTCTATTTCAAGTCAATGTCACAGGATTTAATTGTATTTTTTGTTAATTAAGACTGGAATTTAAATTTTAATTATTTCCGGATATTGTCTGTACACTGTTATGGGTATATATGAATTATAACTATATCTTTAAATAAAAATATTGTATCTCAGTCATATACGATCGAAGTATACACGAGGCTTGTTGTAGAGAAAAGTTACAGATCTATAGTTCTTATTTTCATTGACCCTTTTTAATATATACTTTTATACTTTTGTAGAATGAAACTTGACGCCTACTGTACCGCATATGCCATTCACGTTCGACTTATCGTTAGATAATTATAGAACTGCGACCAAAGGTTTCTAGCACGAACTTTGCGGATAACTAATAAACGTAGTCGCGGCGCATATGAAAAACAAATGCAAAGAGTGTGTATAGTTTGATATGTAGGCGTTGTGATTTCAAACAATAGAGAAGTATATGGTTATGCTTACAATTAGTCAAATCTTTTATGCATTTATGATTGTTACAATATATACATTTCAATTTCAAGCTTAATGTTAAAATTGAAATATTGTTATAGGCTGAACAATTCAAAATTACTTAATTTGTCTCATTTTGAAAATATAATATATATATATATCTTAAGAGAACGAGGATCGTGTGATTTGAAATTTTCTTTTTGCATTAATAATTATTAATGTAAGAAGAAAAATTTCAATTTTAACTGATTATAATTAAGTACCTATGGAATAATAAGTTTCAAATTCTAAAAAAGGTTCCTATTTTCAAAATCATCTACATTTCTTAACGCCTTTTACGGCCTTCGCTACAATATTCTTCACTTAAACTGCATTAAAATTGTGCCTCGTAGGTGGCGCCACGTTCCATGTCGTTTAGCATCGGTTCATTTTGAGCTAATACAAAAATAAGTTTAGATTTTTTCTATTTCAACTTTTATTTCTCGTTTCAAATATTTTAATTGTAAATTTTTTTTCTAGAACCATATATTTGGAAATGATATTAATATATACAATCCAAATCCAATATATATATATTGGATATATAATATATAATAGTGAAGAGTTGTGCATCTTTCACCTCACTTCAAATAGTTTAGTTAACTTTTTGCCGTTTCTTATAGCAAAGTAACTGGAATATTGTTTTCTAAGAAATAAGAGGCTCGGCGAGTCTCTTTGAAGATCCTTTTCTCAAGCTTCTGGCTACCGGAATACCACTCCTATATCCTTCATTGTAACAAGGTATATACACACGCTTGAAATAATATAGGTTACGCGATAATAAGCAGGTACGTCGCTATAGTACTGCGAGTTCGCGTGCTTTTCTACCATGTTTGCTGCGGCATTGGAATGAGAGAAAAGTGCAAAATAAATGGGCAA